AATTCTGTGGTCTATTTAACGCATATATGTGTCGAGCATTTGGAGAAAACTAAAGGAAATATAATCAACATCTCGAGTCTCGCGGGTATGAGAACCGTAAGTATATTTGTTAACTAATCTCAAAATGTTATAAAATAATAAATTTTATAAATACGGTCATTGAATATATCGTATATAGTCTGTGGGCGGGTCCTCCTATTGTGTGTCTAAGTGTGCTCTGGATATGTTCACAAAATGTATGGCCGCAGAGTTGGGACCCAAACGTATTCGGGTTAATGTGATCAAGTAAGATTTTAAAATAGAAATAGATTTATAAAATCCAGAATTAATGCTTTATTTGAATTGACGCCAACATTGCAGTCCCGGACCCATTAAGACCGGCTTTCTGACCGCTATGGGTCTACCCAACGACGCGTCCGACAAGTTTCACGACGGATACGCCAAAGGACTGCCTGTCGGCCGGTCTGGTATTGGCGAGGATGTGGCCGATTCCATACTATACCTGGCCAGTGACCATGCTGCTTTTGTCACCGGCACTAACCTGCTCTCGGATGGTGGTGCCCTTGCCGCTAATCACCTTACTTTTGAGTTTTAAGATTTTTAAGTTATATATCATTTATGTCACAATTATATTAGTATCATGGTTTAGTTTTATGTTTAATTTTATAATTATTAATTTGATTACAAATGTAAATATCAAATTATATTACCTTATTACTAGTATTATAGTATTGAATTTATATTAAATTATATTCTACAATAATAAATACCTATTACAAATTATTAAATTAGTTTTTAGTTATAACTTATAAAATATCAGACCAAAGACATTTACACAATAAGTATTTCTGTTTCATTATTTGTTAAGTATAATCAAAACTGATATCTTAAGTGTGAAATATATTTAATAGATAATAAACTTATTATTATTACTCCTAATCACTTGTTTGCTATTATTTTGAGTATGATTTCGACATAAATTCATAACAACTTTGTATTCAATGTGTTTGAAGTGTTTGCAAACTTTAATGAGATTATCAATGAATAAATTCGGTATTAAAAACACTGGAAACCCGAACCATAGGCTAATTATAATGCCGACAAATACTAGAAATTAATCGAAATAAAACTTTGGTGTCATTCTGTACGACTGGACGGGTAGTGTTGGCAACATAAACAAGAATTCCGATAATTC